CCACCAACATTAATAGTATGAGTAAAGGAGCTGTGGGCTCCACGATACTGGCACCCCTAGACCAGAGCCTCTTATTGATGACTATACCCTCCACTTTCACTTCCTCATAGGACTTTTGAGATGTGGTTTTTTTCCTACTCTTCACAGGTGAATAACCTCTTTGATGTGGCTAGCAATTGTAGAATAGAGTTCACAGCTAAGTAGTTGTGTTAAGCAGTGATGGAGGGGCCTAAATAGATCCTATTCTCAGTTCGTTGTCTTGTTAAGTGAAGGATTTTGTAGTGATCATACATGCATTTTGTCATCGACCTCACCTAGCCTAAGGTCTCCTTCACAATCTTGATCTCGCCAATCTCCTAGCATGAGATCAATGCAATATGTAATGGACAATATACATACCACACACTTTCTTCTATCCTTGAACTTTGACCCTATGAGTCCGCATTGCCTAACATTATAGCGGTAATAATCAGAACCACATGCTTCTCTCTTACGTCATTAACTATCTGGTCTATTTATTGTGGTAGGAATGTTTTTTCATTCCTCATTTTGACCTCTCTGTTGGATAAGAAGGTCATCCAATGTGGGCTATAAACCAGCAAATTTAGATAATATTTCTTATTGCCTTTTCTCCTTCCAACTATCACTCATGATGGTGATCCACATTCTCGACCAACCCTCCTTAAGCTCTCCAATAGATTTCTGAATATCCCCCACCTCTTCATCCACGATTGATCCACTAAACTTGTATGTTGATAGGGGTTCGCCGTACATGAGGAATCATCGATCACTTTCTTCTTTTCATCCGACCCTATCTTGCTTCTATCCCTTCTCGAATTACTAGTCCTGCAAACTATAAAAAAAAAAGTAGTTCTACAATAGAATACCGTTTGCCTTTGGTACTGTCGTAGTACGACAATAGAAACAAATGGCTCTGCTCGCGACGACTAAAATGAGGCTCCGTGCTATGCTCTATCAGCTATCAATTGGCGCTACGCTACTTTAGTTGACAAAGGCGAACAACATAGCGCTGGTGCCCGCTGAGCACTTTGCTACCCCTGAGGCTCTCTTCTAAATTTTAGGACCATAGGCTAGTATTATGGGTTGTTGGTTGCAGTGAAGGGATCCCTTCATCATAGAACCACTTCCCAATTAACTCATTTCCCTATGTGCCTTGCACCTCCAATTATGCCTTCAAGGTTCATCCGTTGCAACCTAAACTTCAAGAAGAATAGATTGATGTGACCTCGGCCTGTGTGCACCGCTCTTGGCCTCCATGACACTAGTGCTCCTGGCCAAGCCATGAATACTTTCGTCGACATCTGAAGTATGTGACGAGGTTGCCCTAGAATTAGCACTAGGTTCCCCTACGCCTCCATGTATGCCCACGTTGGGCCCTCCGTACATACCGCTACTGGGACCTTCGTACATACCGATATTGGACCCTGCATACACACTTGGACCACCTCCCCCATACATGCACATGCCGTACCTTCTATGCAAACTCATCCTGCTCTCCCGACAATGCACTTCCTTCATGTTTGTTCTCATCGCAAGCTCTATGTAGAGGCTAAATTACTCATCTGCACCCATCTCAGTTAATGGCACATAGAGGTTGGCAATATCTTCATTTTAATGGGTTTTCTTCTTATCCTTGTTAGACCTAAGTGGAGTTGTCATCCACTTCCTCACATTACTAGGGACATCAGGGCACGTAGCAACCTTCTCCCAAACCTTGCCACATGCTGCTTAAACCTATTTATTCCACTATTAATGACCATATGGTAGTAATTACATATAATTTTTTCTTTCTTGGTCGGATCTTATTTTTCTAACAATTTATATAGAAGTATGAAATTATTGTTTTCCTAATAATTTTCAATTTATTTTTGGCCATCTGCCATTTTCAATAGCTTTCATGTTTTCCAACATGTCACAACCTAGAGAAGACCTTACATGGCATATAATTACTGTCACCTGGTGATTAGCAATGGAATAAATTAGTTCAAGCAACACTTGGCAAGGATTAGGGGGAGCTTGCTCTGTGCCTTGATGTCACTGGCAATATGAGAAGGTAAATGACAACTCTTCTTCATGCTAACAGGGGTAAGAAGAGAGCTAAACAGAAGATAAATGAGGAGATCGCCAGCCTCTGTGCCATCATCTGAAAAGGGTGAAGATGAGCAATTCAACCTTGGAATTCAACTCAATTGAGAATAATTGCATCATTGGGAATGCTTAATGGTATACATGGTGGGTATGACATGGGCATGCATGGAGGGGGTGCCCCCAGTATGTATGCAAGCCTAGCATATGTGTATGGAGAGCATAACATGCGTATGTACAGGGGGCCCAACATAGGCGTATAGTGGCATAGTGGCACTTGGTGCCAGTTCTAGTAGTATCATATACTTTAAATGTCGAAGATACTATGCATACCTTGTCTAGGAGCAGGCTAGGAGAGGTGCACACTATAGACCTGTGAGACCCATGGCTCAGGTTCACATTGGGCCATTCTTCTCAAAGCCTAGGTTACCATGGATGAGCCTCTTTGGTATGATTAAATATTCAAGGGACCTAGTGAAGAGGGCTATGGCGAAATACTTTTATGATGAAGAGATTCCCTTGAATGCAACCAACAACCTATATTACCAGCTTATGAATGCTCCAATTTATAAAAAAGGCCCTAGGGTGAAGCCCCCTACGGCATAAGAGCTTAGTGGGTTAACATTAGATGAAGAGGTGGAGGATGTTTAGAAATTTATTGCGGATTTCAAGGAGAGTTGGCTGAGGATGGATTTTACCATCATGAATGAGGGTTGGAAGTGTAAACCCAATCCGAAACACTTGAACTTTTTTAGTTTATTGCCTATGTCAGACGACCTTTTTATCTACTAGAGAAGTCACAGGAGTGAGGAAGGAAGCAAAGTTCCTGTCACAATTAATGGACTAGCTAGTTAAGGACCTACTTTTTAGGGTCGGGTCCCTGACCCATTGCTCGAAACTGCTCTGAACAAAAAATAGCAAAAGACTCCTTGCGGAGCACCAACTTGAAGCCCATGCGTTGTGCTACTCCAACCAGCATTTATATATTTGGAGGTAAGAGAGTTGCACCATTCATAAGATACAGACATAATATGTAAAATTATAAAATGTACAAACATGTCAAGTTGTTTTATTGTCTCTTTAACAACTAATATTGAAACACCCAAGAGCCGGGGGTCTTTACCCATAAGTCCTTCGAACTCCACATAAAGTTTTTGTTGTTTTTTCTACAAAATTATTGTAAAAAATTGGGATAAGTGTCCGACTTGCTCACCCAGAACTGAGTTGGACTAGTGACTTAAAATCGGATCGCTTAGTCCGGGGCAATCCTACTCAAATTGATGCAAAGAAAAGGAAAAATGGTGACTAACTTTTAAAATGTAGGTCTGTTAAAAAGGAATGAATTATACAATTTGCATAAAAATAAAAATTGAATTTTAGTTATCCCAATGATTGAAAACTCTCAAGCCCACTCAGATTTGTTCGAGACGCTCGGACTTGGCTACTTCGTGTCTTTCCAAGCCAAGTACTTAGGTCTAGGTTGGACACTCTAAAAGTTTATAAATCCTAATAAGTATAGACCAATGTATATGTAATTTGGATTTTTTTCAAAATGATTTGTGAGTTTTTCCCTGCCATATTCCCTATTTTTATATTTTTCTCTTTTTTTTTTTTCCAAAATATTACCAATAAGAAATCAATTTTTTCTAAATCGATATCTTATATCTTTTTTGGAAATTTTGTGTGTCTTTATTTTGTTTCACTTTTATATTTTTAGCAATTTTCTTTTTATTTTTTAGGGCCTCTTGGCGCTTCACATTACTCAGCTGAGTCCACATCACACAGTTACTTGCCTCAGCCAGGCCTGAGTTCGAGGCCCGAGGTGAATTGAGAAACATTGAGTGATCCAATCAATGAGGATGCTCAAAATTAGAATTCTTGTCCAATCGGATACCCTGTTTCAATATATAATGTATTGGAAGTTCTTGTTGATCTTAGCCAGAAAAATGAGATATCACAAGATAAAAAATTGAGAACCCTCATTTTTTTAATTTTTTTTAATTTTGCCAAAATTGGGCTTCGTTTTGAAAAACAAAGATATAGGTCCTGTAGATTTTTGAAATCTGATTGCAATCAAATTTTTTTTTGAAAAAATGATTGAAAATGAGAAAGAAATGGATTAGAAGCAAATAGATGCTTTGCGGTTAAAGAAATCAAAGGTTTTCTAACCAATCGTGCATCTAGGTAAATTTGGACATTTCTTTAAAACGGTTTGTATACTATGAGACCATTTATCTTTGTTACAAAGAGATCACAACTTTTCTTAGCCATTAGATGTCAAATTAGATGGTTTAAGGTGCACTATAAAGTTCAAAAAATTTATTTTGAACTTTAAGTCTAGTCAATGACACACTCACAACCACTTGATTTGAAATGTGACAGATATGAGTGACTGTGACCTCCTTGTATTAAAAGTAAATAGTCTCTTTGTATAAAAATGAGTGATTTTAGGCAAACTAGGCAAGTTATATCTAGGCATCCTGAACTAGTGACCAATGTGGTTTGAGTTGGATTGGGCGCTTTTGATTCCACTTATGACTGTTTTAACGTTTATGCATTGTTTAAAAATAGGAAAATTATATAAAGATATTATTTGCTTTTTATAAAAGGAAGTCAAAAGCACTTTTATCCATCAGCTTTCAAATCTAGTAATTGTAAAAGTATCGTTGGCTAGACTCAAAGTTAAAAAAAAATTTATCGAATTCTATAACACACCCCAAACCATCCAATTTGACATCTAATTATTAGAGTAATTGTGATAACAAAGATACATGATTTGATTGCATACAATTCCTTAAAAGTATTGCATAGAGATGTAACAGCAATATTGAATCAGTTGTTATTTTTGTTTCCACCCTCTCTCTCTCTCCTCCCGGCAATACATGCGTGCATAGGTATGACAACTCATGTAATGACATTTTAAGTGGGTGCGGAGCTCCATGATCCGGCCTGGCAGGCTCCTTCCTATTGCTTCCAAGAAGATGAAGAAAAGCATCTCCTCATAAAACCAAAGAAAGGGGTAAACGAGGATTTCAGAATCCCTGGTGGAAATGACGTTTCACTCGTCGGCGATGATTTGGATTTGTCTCCGACTCTTTTAAGTTTTAAAAATAGCCGATCCGGATGGGGTTCTTAGAACCCTTGGTGTTGTTCGTGAGCGATGATTTGGATTTGTCTGGGACTCTTGGGTTTTGAGAATAGCCTATCCTGATGGGATCAAAGAAAGATAGGAAAGACGGCTCTATGCATTTTTTTTTATTTTCAATATTTTTTTGCTAGATCATTATTTCAGCCAATCCAAATTGGTCTAGCAGAGGGCCGATCCATTTTTTAAAATTGAGTTATCAATATGAGATATTCTATGTGGCAAATTTCTCAAGCTGGTGAAGGGCACAATGGTCCCTATAGGTCCAGCCAGAGCCCAGCCTAGCCTTATAATGGCACCGGCTTAGTCGTTCGATGACATTTTATGACCTAGGCCCCAGTTTTTCAAGGCTACTGCCAGGCCCATTCTTGTACCTGTCAACGGTCAAGTTCTCAACTAATTATATCAGTTGAGGTTTCCTATTAAAAAAATTTGTGAACATAAAAAGAAAAACGAAAAAATAAATGCTGAGTAATGCACGCCCAATGCTTTATTAGGATTTACAAGAGCAAAACAAATGTGTATACCCCATGAGAATAAAAAAAAAACAAATGTGTATACCCCACAAATACTAGAGGAAGGCTTATTGTACTTGAAGAGTTAATTATAATAGACCCCTAATTAATTGGGAGACTGAATTCAGTCCATAAGGTTATCATATCGATCTTTTTACAACGCCTTGTGTTTACACGTCATCTATTGCTAAGCTGAACAAATTTAAAGTTCTATTCAAAATCTCAAACATAAAAGCTTTTGTGAGGACATTAGGAGCTCTTTCTCTGCTTTAGGTGTACCATGGATCAACATTCTTCATCAATATCTTTCCATGAATACTGAAATCTTTTTTTTTTTTTTGGATATCGTTCCAAATTTATTGATAATAGAGCAAATTACAAAGATGGGTAGGGAATTAGCCGCATCGTTGACCTCCCTATACACATGAGTTAGAGTTAAAAGTCAACTGAGACATGAGCTCGAAAATCTGAAGCCCAATGATTGCTGATACTGAAATCTTGGAAACTAGACTCTGGGCTTGATGTTTTTGGGTGAATAGATTAAGGGCCTGTTTGAAAACTGGATGGTGGTAAGTCCTTGGAATTCAGAAGTTCTTTCTACTTCAGAAACAAAACATTAACATTATGGAATTGGCAAATATGTCGAGAATTTCAAGAAAGCCTGGGAGCCTTCGTTTGACTGAAATTGGAAGTTTGGAAATTTAGAGATATATAAATAAGCCAGTTAACACTTCACTTAGTTTCTTAATTGATAATAAGGACGATATGTATTCAACAAAGGATATTTGTAAGACACAAGTCATCGCTTACCAATAGATGCACTATAAAACTCCATTGGAAAATGTTGTTTTAATGTTGAAAAATTCTCTAATTGGTCATCGCGGCATCAAGATGAATGAATATGAAAAAAGATTTTGAGTCCCATAAATAGTACATCTTGCAACACATTATCTAGACTGTCCATTTTCAAGATTTTCATATATTTATAGATCTATTTGATTTGAACTATTATTGGAGTTTAAAATTTTATAATTAGATATAAAAATAGATTTTCAGATAATGCTAAGAGTGTTTTACACCAAATTACATGTTATTATAAAATTTGGAGGTGTGCCTTAATTGGATTTTTTAAAGTTGCAATTTTATAGAAACCAAAACCCTATATAAAATGAATAAATTTTACTTTATTAAATACATCATTATTTATGGGAAACGTTTGATAAGGAGACATCAAGCACATAGTGACTTGCAATCCTCCCTAGTCATAACCAGCTAGCTACACGAACATTAAAAAAACTATTCAAAGGAACAACATAGATAGAGATAATCTACATAGTTTGAGAGAGAGAATATGATTATTAAAATATATAGTTAAAAATGTGGTAGAGTGTACGGTTTGGATCGTGTGCATATGTGTGCTCTTGTGACTCAATTATGCCTCAAATAAAGCAGAAAGAAACTAGAGGGAAACCAACAACTTTATTGCTTTAAAAAACAAATATAGGGGGATCTTTCACTCCTAGATCCGACAGAACCTGGACCCACTTAGACCATAGCCATTTGGTACCAGGGCAGCCCTCTCAATGAGATTTGGTTGGGTTATTAGTCTAGGATGAAGTGGAACCTCAAACTACTGAAGAAACCAACTGCTCACGGGAAGCCCACATTCCATATGAGTTCCCCATGACCAGCTCACAAACTTTTTAGTTTCGAAGTGGGTGGTCTGAGCTTTTTTTTGAGTTTTGGAAGTTTTTGGTTCTTGTAACTGGGAATCTCTAAGGGTATTTGGGGATTTTGGATATTGGGGAGAGGTAATTTGGGCCCAGAGCCACCCCCTCTTATCCCATATATGAACCTTGGGCCACCCCCTATCAAGACTAGGCCAATTCCACCAGACGATATCCTTTTCGGATTAAGCCCAAAGCAACTCGATTTCAAAGAAGGGCAAACGAAATTTGGATAGCATCACCCCTGTAGAAAGTCTCTTTGAAGACAACACATAAACGGGTCGGACTCAGTGTCAGAAGCCCCGCGGGGCGGATCCACAACCAACGTCTAAGGGGCACGAAACCCAATTGAAGTAACGACTATGACACCCCTCGCCACTCCAAATCGGGAAATTCTAAGTGTATTTTGGGGTTCTAGAGTATATGGTATTTTTTGGAAATTTTCTAATTTCTATAGGTATTTTAATAATTTTGGTATTCTAATCTGCCACAGATTTATGAGTGAAGAATCCACCCCGCCAATCTGGATTTTGAAACACTGGTCCCAACCCACACATATAGAATTCCTCCTATCATTAAGTTGTGATAAGCCTAATGAATTTCCCTTGTAGGTGAGATATGAAGGTAACCAAGGTTTAAAGAATAGATTAGCGACTTGGATTGACTATCTGAATAAGAGAATTAGCTAGATAATAAGAACCGGCATTAAAAGTTTTTCAAAAATCACTAGAATTGCTTAAAAATCTAGTTTTTTAGGTTAAAAAAAAATGGTATTGCATTATAATTTTTTATTATTTTAATAAAAGTACATAAATACTAAGAGTTTGTCATATGTCCAAGTGTTTCTTATATGTTATACTCATATTTTTAGTCAAAATATGTTTTAAATATAGCTTATTGTAATAAAATAGATATCTCTTACTCAAATTTTCAAAGGATTTGTTCTAAGGAATAAGTAGTTTCTCTGTTCACGACATTATTTTAGGGTACCTTCCATCTAAAGAAAGGAAGGGACAAAGACATATAATTCTCTTCCCCTAATTATAATCCCAAATCAACTTTCAGGTTTACAGGCTTCAAGCCAAAAGAAGAAAATGATGTTTAAGCCCCTTCCCACCTTTTTCATAGTGCAAATAATAATATCTATCCTTTTTGTTTTTTTAATGAGACCTTTATCCAAACCTAAAAAAGCTCTCTCTCTCCATCACCCAATGAATTTTTTTTTTGTCCCTCCCTCTCTCATTCTGCCTTATCTCTCTCTCTATTTCGAACCTCACAAGTAGGTCAAACATAGCGTCTGATATTTTATTTGGATGATGGGATCATTAGGAAAAAAAATAATAATAAATATAATAATTTCAACAATAAAACAAGGTACAAATAAGGGTGGATAACGGGTCGGGTTGGGTTGAAAGGTCAGCCCAACTTGGATTTGGGTTTGGGTTTGGGTTTGGTTCATATTACTGGGCCCCATGGGTTAGATTCGTGTCTAGAAGTAGGGATCCGATATCAGATCGGGTTGAGTCATGGTCTAGGTTGATCTGAACCCATCTGACCCAAATATTTTAGATGTACGAGTTATTTTAATTATAATAATTTTGTATATTATGTAATCTACTATTATTTCATCATTTTTTTTTACACACTATGTGACATAAGTTTTAGTTATAATGTACTATTATATATTATCCTATAGTTAGAAGCTTAAAGGAATCCTTAAGCAGAAAGTTACTCTCTCTTCCCTTACTCTTTTTTTTTTTTTTTTGACAATTAGAGGAAAAAGCGATAGAGAGAGGGAGATGAAAAAATAAGCAGTACTTAACCCGATCGGGTCCGAGTTGGGTTTGGGTCCACTTGAATTTAACCCTACCGGATCTTTATCAGGGTCTTGGTCGAACATGGATCTTATTGGGTTTGGGTCGAGGTCATCCCGACCCAAATATATTAGTATAAATTACATCTAAATAATATTGTATTAATTATGTAATATATAAAATATATAACATAATTTTTTATTTATAGACAACCCTAGTTAGTGGGTTGGGTGCAGGTAACTTAGATCTAATCAGGTCAAGTTGGGGTCAGTGTTAACTTACACCCGACACTACCCATTCCTAACACCCTGTACAAAGGATGTCAAAAGTCTTTAATTTTAGTTTGGAGATGGTCCATGGAATTTTTTATGACTGTTTATTGGGATCACAGTTATAAAGAAGAGTACAATTTTTTTTTCTCTTTAAAAAAAAAAAAGAAAAAAGAAAAGAAAAAGAAAAAGAGAGAGAAACTTATTAGAAGAAAATGGATGGAATGGAAGTGACACATATTCCTTCCTTTTTAACCTTTTTCAATTCAACCATTTTCACATCCAATGCTGAACGTAGGGTTCGTAGGCCAGAGAATTTGTTCCAAATCAATCAATTTCACAACAAAAATGATTGCCTTAAATGGGCCAAGACAACCGAAAGAAAAGCTAAATGCAACTTGTCCTCCTCGCGGTACAATGTAGTGAAGAGGATGATATGGAAATCTTTATCCAAGTGGCAAATGGCCATCATCACCAATCCCTATTCATGATGGGGAAGTTTAAAATGAGGGTGTAATCAAATGTACTTCCTTTTAGAAATATCTTAGGGATGTATTTAAGAAATTTTAAATCACTCCAAATGCTTTTCCTCTTTAGACCCATAATTTTGTAGTTTTCAAAGACACTGAAGGTCTAATGATCTGTGAAAAATTAAAATGAACCGTCCAAAAACAAAATTCAAGACAACCTAGTTTTTAAAATTCATTTTTTTTTTTTATTTGTCAAATTCGTAATCATAGTGGTCGAGACTATTGACATATAACGGTTGGAAGGAGATCATGTTCGAATAAGTGTGTTCGTCAATTTTTTTCCTTTACATGTGATCAATACATTATTATCCGGCAATGTTTATGGGCCCAACGTGATACATAATAAATTT